TGACGCGTCCTGCCGGCAACGGACCCATGATTGCCTCTGAACAAACGGGCTTTATTTTAAAACACGTCACACAATTTTTTGTTGATTTTCGCGCAGTTGTTCGCAAGAGTATCGGCCAAAAACGCTGCCTCACTGTCACCATTGTAGCTTGCACACCAGCGTGAGCATTGCATGCGTGCTCATGTTCTAGTATATGTTGAGATAAAATATGATTTTGCGGTAACAGAATCTGGTGGCGCGCGTCGAAATTCAAGTCCGAATTGACCAATATATCGCCTACTCGAATTAGTCCGTCTTTATCTATGAAAGGAGAAAGAGATATTATATGACTAGATGCGCTAACGCCCTTGCATTGCGTTCCGCGGAAAATACTTGACCCTGCGCCGATTTGTACATAATTCGTAATACAACGTAGATCTCTTGATAATACATGAAGATAGTAGGTGTTATCGGGCAGCAAGCCGTCGAAAATCTTAAACAACTCGCTAGTATGTGACATGCCTTATTGAAGTTCGAATGTTTGATTAGTAACTCGTTATCGATTAAATGATCTAATACGGCGACGATCGTGGAAAATTTCTTCTGTTCTGATAGGTTCTTTAATGTACGCGTGAATTCAGTGCTAGGCCAGAGATTGTCGTTCAGCTCTAAAAAGGGAGGCCCATGCCACCACATCGAAGAGTTCGCTAGCTCTTGCAGATTTAGACCGTGTGATAAGATATAGCAGGATTGTTAGACGACTTGACGTGAGCCAATCGGAGGGGTCAGTCAAGCCCTAATTTCATCGATTCGGTTTACTACAAAAATTCGATCATCTTCGAAATGGCGAGGCTATTCAGTTCAGAACTATGATTGAATCCGACCAGAAGAAGGTTTGTATGTCGGACAATTTGATTGATGTTTTGATTTTTTTGACTAATCTGGCCAACAATAATGCCGTTGAAAGTTCAAGTAGGTGGTAGTGATACCGCCTTATAAGAATCAGCAACGCGAGATTTCGAACATAATAATTCAGTGTGATATACGTCGTTTTCGAACTTGGTGCATATATAGACGCACGCTCCGTAAGCACGTTGGCGTCTCAAAAGCTATGGACTTACATGGATTGCGGCTCGGTATTAAGTTTAACAGATAATTGATTGATGTCAACATCATTGACAAATTTGAGTTTTGACCAGCGCAAATAAAGATCTTGTGGGATTGATTTGTCTGAATGAATACCTAGTTGCCAAAGCTTCAGCAAGATTAGCTTGGCCAGCACGATGATAGAACTCAGCAACCCAAGCGGATCGAAAAGTCGGGAGACTTCGAAAAGTATGACTCGTTTAGAAATGACCGCGCAATTGTCGTCTGCTTTTGTAGGAAAAATGAAAAGAATCTTTAGACTGATTCCAATGAACTCCTAGTATGAAATATTCTAGGCTACTATCGATCGTGACAATGTTTTTTTCTTGGTCGCCGAGACCCGCTAATAAATCCGGACAGATGCCAATTTACTGACCTCGAAGGTACCTCGAAGCGTAGTAAATCAATTGTTTGATCACGAATTGTTCTTGCTTCTTCAACTGTGTCGACTCCCGTGAGCAAGTCGTCTACATAGAAATCCCGCTTGACTCATGTGGAGCCGGTAGAAAAATCGTTGACATGTCGTTCTGCCAGCCATTTAAGGCATCTTGTTGCTAACAATAAGTATGACGCGGAAGATGTACCATACGTCACGGTGGTGAGTTTGTAAGTTTTTGATATCGGAGCTAGAGTCGCTTCGCTATAGAATGCGTTTGATACACGTTTGTGACGGATGTATCTTTACTTGCCGATACATCTTAATAATGAAGCAAAAATGATCATTTTTGCTTCAATGTTGAATAACTCGGTGAAAAAAAATCGCACAATGCTGGCCGGGTGCTCAAATTAAAGCTAAAGATTCACGCTTTCGAACGATGTAAACCTCATTTGTGTGCGATTTTTATTTTACTTTTTGGAACTTTGCAAACTTGGTAAAAAATTTTTAGATTTCATGCATCTCCATTTGCATCCGTGCAGCTTTGTAAAGAATCAGTAAGTAATTTAATGAATTATGGGTGTCGAAAGTAGAGACTTTAAGCTTTAAAATGCTTTTTTGATCATTTCGATACAATCATTTTTGACAAAGTTACACTCTCTTGAAATTTGCCTATTTTTAGTGATCAGAATGGGTAATGCTTTAATTGTGCTGTCGAGTGTATAAAGTAAACATGCTTTAATCGCCATTTAAAGGAAAAAATTGCAAATGTCTTCTTTGCCGTTGAACTAGTCGTCATTGTAGAGTATTAGACTCGACATAATGACAATTATGATACGCTTTATGTAATGATTTCAAATTCGGTTATTTTAAATCCGCCATTTTAATTTTGTAATTCTATTTCTAGATTCACAATGAACAACCTTAAAAACTTTATAGTAATCATTTTCAAGCCAATTTCTAAAGTTTTCGCATTTTAATTGAATATACTGTAAGATCATTCGTGATTTTTATGGTTTTTAAACGACATATTTGAGCCGCCATATTGAGTTTTTCAAAAGGCCACGTTGTATTCGAAATTACATAAGTATACAAATATTTTGAGACCTCAAACATTTTTTTCCATTGCGTTAAATTTTGGGAGAAGAGGTGACTCGCTTAACGCGAAATCATACCATATATACTTGTAATTATATAATATATTGATGATAAATAATGATATACATATAATTGATGATTATAACATATAACTTCTATTTCTTTGATTTTTAATTAATTTATACGATACGCAAAATTTTCTATTAAAAATATTAAAGCACTAAGTTCTAATACTTGCATATTTTATTTAGTACATTTTTAAATTAAATGTTTTAAATGTTATTTCATTACCTTCTAATATTTGAAATACAGAATACAAACTTCATTGATATAAATTAAAGAAAATAAATAGTCAGTTTCTTGAATAATTCTTAGACTTCGTATATATATTAGCTATAGTTGTAATTTCACGCACATACACATACACGCGCTCATGTATGTACATACATAATATTATTTTTTATATCGTTAGACAATCAAGGGCAAATGAGTCAAAGGCAAGTTATTAGTAGCCAAAAATAATTCTATTTCAAATCGGATCCAAACGTTTCGGCTTCTATTAAGCCATATTCATTGAATCAATATACATGCATTTTAATTAAAATAACCTAAAAACGCAGAATTTCGTCATACTTCACACTTGTAAAAACTTAAAAAATTAAACCGCTGAATTTCGGTATCCTTCGCAATTATAAAGAATTGATACATATTTACGATGATTTTTCGATATCTGTTCTGCATCACGGTGGAAGTCCCTTGAAGAAATTCCCAGGATTAATTATGCGCTTAATAACATCTCAGACATGTCATGATTGTCCAAATTACAGTCATGTAGATAAAAGCGAGAAACTAGTCATTAAAATTAATCAACCATAAGGTGGGATTAAACCATAAGATGGTAAAGCGATATATGAAATTGATTTTAAAGAACGAAAATTGAATACCCTGACAAAGAATTAATTGCGACAATAGAATATGAGAGAATGTAAAATTAAATACCCGCAGGTATTTAATTTTACGTTCTGAATTTTTCGAAAGGATTATTTCTTTGGTCAGGGTATTCAATTTTCGTTCTTTAAAATCAATTTCATATATCCCTTTAATTGCACGCACATACACATACACGTGCTCTCGCGCTCATATACATACAAAATATTATTTTTTATATCATTAGACAATCAAGGGCAAATGAGCCATGAATTAATTGCGACAATAGAATATGAGAAAATGTAAAATTAAATACCTGCAGGTCAGGGTATTCAATTTTCGTTCTTTAAAATCAATTTCGTATATCGCTTGACCATCTTAATTATGGTTTAATCCCACCTCATGATTGGTTAATTTTAATGACTAGATTCTCGCTTTCATCTACATGACTGTAATTTGGACAACCATGAAATGTCTGAGATGTTATTAAGCGCATAATTAATCCTGGGAATTTCTTCAAGGGACTTCCACCGTGATGCAGAACAGATATCGAAAAATCATCGTAAATATGTATCAATTTTATATAATTGCGAAGGATACCGAAATTCAGCGGTTTAGTTTTTTAAGTTTTTACAAGTGTGAAGTATGACGAAATTCTGCGGTTTTATGTTATTTTAATTAAAATGCATGTATATTGATTCAATGAATATGGCTTAATAGAAACCGAAACGTTTGGATCCGATTTGAAATAGAATTATTTTTGGCTACTAATAACTTGCCTTTGGCTCATTTGCCCTTGATTGTCTAATAATAAAATTTATTTTACTGAGCCTAAATCGTTATTTCGTTTAATTATTTTTTATATTATTATATATTTTTATTTTTAATATTTACTTTTTTTCTTTTTAGGAGCTGAGTGATATACATCCTGAAAATACTTATGTGGGAATCAGTTGAAAAGTAGTCTATGGAATTTGAACCAATTGTAGTAATTGTCGTTATATCGAGTCTAATACTCTACAATGACCAATTGGTTCAACGGCATCAGAGTAGTTCATTATAAAAAATAAAATAAAAAAATTAAGAAATAATAAAAATAGTGAAATAGAAGTATGATATAATATTGTTGCGCTCTGTCGTCGAGCTATCACTCGCGTGCCGTACTCACTCTGCACTCGCGCAAACACGACCGAAATAAAGGAGACGAGACGTTTAATAAAAGAACTCTCTTTAATACAGCAACAGAAATACAAGCGCTCGCTATCAGCGTAGCACGTCCGAATTGGTTGACGGCTCGTCGAGAATTTCTACAGATCGTGTTTTTAACAAACGCGCGCCGCGTTGTGCGGAAAACACTTCGCAGCTTTCAGGCTAAAGCTACGTGCACATACGGGTCGGCTCAGCCGAGGGCATAACAATATGAAAAAATATATGAATATGTAGGAAAAATAAAAAGAAAATCATAGAGCCAATTAAGAATATTCATAGACAACCGGAATAAATATGAAGAATGGTGGAACGTTGTGGCATAGCACTTTAAGTGCTAGGAGTGAAAACGAAAGATCCTAATATTTAAATCAGAGTCAACGCTTTTACTTTTTCCAAAGTTATCGCTAATATTTTGTATTTGTAATTAAGTCGCTTGGTTCCATTCAAATCATATCTTCCTACGATCTTAAAAACTCACAATATAAAACATGAAAAAAATACAAAACGTATCTATTTTATATTTTTTTCACTTTCTCTTTTATAAATATTCTATCTTCTAGGATAAGGGCACTAGTTCTGCACCACCGGAAAGATAATTAAGATACATATTTTTATCCTGAAAAATATAAATATCAACAACTATTTAAATTGTAATTAATTATAAAGAATACTTTATGAGTTACTTTGTAATTTTATTTAATTTCAATACTATTTTATATATTTTAATTCTAATTGAATTAAATAATAAAAATTATATCCATAATTAGATCTCTAGGTCTAGTTATAATTCTAGCGAATCAGACTACCCACAAAACATATTTAATATTTTAATATTTTTAGCTTGAACATTATGTTGATTTTTTCCATGAAATCTATTGCTATTTACTCCTGTAAGAGCCATAAAATAATCCTTCTAGGTATTAAACTTTGAATACATTTTTAAAAATATAGCTAAATTGATGTTTTAATTGACGTTTTATTACTTAATAATATTAATAAAATGTGTAGCGTATTAAAAAACATGTATTATTGCTAATAATAAACAAGAAATAATTGACGATTGATAAAGCTAACATAAGTACTAAAGAATCGTGTGATATGCGCTATTTGATAAAAAATACAATAATTTAATTTATAATAAATTATCCGGAACTATTCGACCTACATCTAGTATTCTTATCCTATACAAAATATTGATATAAAAATGATAGACAAATTATTATGGTGCGTGGATATATATAAATGTACTTATATTTATAGAATTGCGCATTGTAAAAATATTTTTTCTATCTTTAGAATAAAAACGCAATCACATTTTTTAAACATTTTATAAAATATACATATATCATAACTGTAAAAGACTTATAGAAATACGATTAAAAAAAGTAATATATTATATGTTTCTCAATTTAAAAAAATTAAAATGTTGAATAAAATAAATAAATAAGAGTTAATAATGCAGAACTTGATTGTGTAAAAATTTTTCCAATTATATTAAACCTTAATACATATACTACTTGATAAAATCCCTTCGTATTTTGACTTTTTTCAAACTTTCTTTAGCGATACATGTTACCCTCAATTATATTAACAATTTGAAAAATGTATAATGGATACAATTAACATGTGACGATATCCCTCAAATCGTCCCTGACGAACACCGGTCAGACGCGGGGCGCTCAGCGCCAATAAATTATACCAACCGAATTGCGCGAACGGTCAAGCCGTTCGAATTTGCAACGACAACGAAGACCGCCGCAGGCGCCCGCGCGGCGCCCGCCAGCGCCGCCCCGTGCGAAAGCCGCTCGGCGGCGCCACAGTACAGCGCGCTACCGCTCCAACGAAAAACCAACAGCGCCGAAACAACACGAACGGCCTCGAACTGGCCCGAACTTAGCGATTTTGAACTATAAAAGCCCAAAATCGCTGAGGAAAACTCTCTCTATCCAGAGAACTTGGCGAACCCCTGATCCTCGCCGAGTTATCCGTATCCTGAAGTCACAGCCTACTGGGCCTCCGCCGAAAATTCTCGGCCACCGCAATCCTCCCGAACGTCATCGACCCGAGCAGATGCAAACCGGGGGTCGCAGCTTGCTGGGCCTCCACCGAGGATTCTCGGCCGCACTCCTCGGGACGGGCTGACGGGACCAGAATTCACCCATCCTCTACCACCGCAACGACCGGCGCTCCTCTGGGGAACGAGATCCGTCTCGTCCCTGGCGAATATACTTTTATCTCGGCCGCCGGGCGTTCCCGCCCCGAAATCCTCGTACGCACACTCATACAACCCGCGCGCCGTGCCGATTAGCCACACTTCTAGACGCCCGCACCACGGCAAACACCGTGTTTTCCCATAGGGAACTCCACCGGCGGAGTTCAGCGTGCGGATCATAACAGACCGGCAGTTTAAAAGAAATCTCATACCACGGGCAAAGGTATTTGAGTCACACGCATACCGGCAAGCGCGACAAGCGAAACTGTGAAACCGACGTCGATAAATCTACTCTCTTTTCGCGTAGAATGTAAATATTCTTTTTTTAAATATATTTTATAATCTTTTCTCTACATTGCGCCTTTTCTTTTGTGCCGTTTCTCTTCCTGAACCTTCCTTTCGTCACACCGATCCTTCCGACGAGCTACTCCGCGCGAAGAAAGGTCAGGTCGTTTCAAACAAAAGATTAAAATCTCTCTTTAACAAACAGATATCAGAAAGTTGTTATACAATATAGTCAAACAAAAGTTGTTGAACAATAAAATTATAGAGAAGAAAAATAAGGTTAGTGCGAAATAGCACTTTATCATTTTCTTGCCATAGAAAGAACACACAGAAAAAAAAGGAACAATAATGTGAACATCGACCAATATATGAATACTATAATTTTAAAATAAAGCTATTTTATTTACAACTAATTTTAAAATAAAATTATCTTTACTATCTATTGTCAATAATACTAAAAAAATTATTATTTTCAATAAGTTTTAAAAATTGCTGTTAGTAAAAGAATAAAGTCACCCCGCATGTTTAAAACGGTTTTCAGCTTTTTTCTTTGTTTTAAGTTTTAAAATTTGCGTTTATTATATAAAGGCCGTAGCCGGATAAGAAGGGGCAATCTGCCCCCGCGCCGATCATGATCATTTTTTACAGTTTTGTTGCTATCCATATCAGTTACAATTTTACCAAACATTAGCCCTTAATATTCAACCGTTGAGATGTGAGAAATAAAAATCAAAATTTAAAAAAAAATTTATATCTTTTAAACGGCTCAATCAATTTTCATTAAAAAAATATATGTTGTAGATGTAGACAAGATACATTTGTAAAAAAATTTCGAAAATTTTTTTAGGACAGAAACATTGCAAAAAAAAATAAAATATTTTTATTTATTTTGTTTAGCTATCTTATCGGTCTTGTACTATCACAAAAATTTTGCCGTAAAATTATTAGATGCTATTCTATAACATGTAATTTTTTCAAATTTTTGAAATGGGTACTTGATACTTAAAAAAAAGAAATTTTCTTTTCAATTTTTTTAACCATCTTATCAATTCAATATCATAACAAAATTTTTTTGTGAAATTGTTGGACGCTCTTCTACAACATGTATTTTTTTTAAATTTTTGAAATGGATACTTGATACTTAAAAAAAAATTCTTTTCCTGATTTTTTTAAACCATCTTATCGGTCCACTACGAAGAGCTAACTCAATTTTTAACGCATAACTTAAGAAATGTATAATTGAACATATATAATACCTTTATTCAATTATGAGCACATTCTCTAAAGATTTTGCAATTAAGTGGCTAGATATTATAGAGTTATAGAGTTTCATTTTGATGTTTCGGATTTTCATTTTCTTTATTTTACGACTAACTTTATGCAACTAACTTGATATAAAATAAATGAATTTGTTTCTATTTATTGTTACTTTTTATAATAATAA